GCACCTCCGGACGAGATAATTCTATTAATTATTCCTCCAAACCCTATTAAATGCCCGGTACCGGCCCCCTTTGCCTGCTACCGGCACCGAGGACAGGCCGTAGCATCCTCCCAACGCCACCCCCCACTCCTCGGCCCCAGCCCCCCCTTTATTTCTCTAGTTTTTCCCCTCTTTCCCCCTATATTTCCCTATTTACCCCCACTATTGCCCTATTTTTCCCCTCTTCCCCCTTTATTTCCCTATATCCCCCCACTAACTCCCCTTTAATTCCATATTTTTCCCCTTTCCCCCTTTATTTGCTTATTTTTCCCTCTATTCCCTGCTTTCTTGCTCTTGCCCTTCTATTCCTGTCTCTATTTCTCTTTTCCCCTCTATTCTCCCCTTCCCTTTTTCCTCACTGTTCCCCCCTTTACTTCTCTTTTTCCCCGTTCCCCTCTTTATTTCCATCTTTTTCCTCAGTTCCCTCCTTTATTCCCTCTATTCCCCCCTTTATTTCCCTCTTTCTCCCTGTTCCTCCCTTTATTTCCCTCTTTTTCCTGTTCCCCCTTTTATTTCCCTATCTTTTTCCTCCCCCAACTCCATAAAAAACACACATACACTTTGTATATTTTTTTTTTGCTTGTTTGTTTTTTTTTTTTCTCTTTATTTTTAAAAATGAAACAGTGGAGTAAAGCGGTTTGTGGCAAAAAAAAAAAAAAAAAAAAAAAAAAGAAGAAACAACCTCGCTGGAAGAGAAATGGAGCCCACGTCCATCCTTAATCCCAACTCCACATCCAAACCAACAAACTGGGGAAGAATACGGATTAGAAGAGGCAAGGAGGAGGGGGGGGGAAAGGCTAAAAGAAACAAAATCAGCTGAAAAGAGGAAAAACAACATCATTACAGGAAAGTACATATTTTCTTTTTTTCTGAGTAGCCTGAAATTGTATTGGGGCGGCTGCCGGGAGCAGCAGCACCCTTGGGTGCTCCCAGTGTTGGGGTGCAGAGTGATGCAACACCCCGAATTGGGTTCAGTCACCCCCCTCGTGCTGCCACCAACCCGCTGCCGCCGTCCTGCCCCCAAAAACCCACTGGAAAAAAGAAAAAAAAATAACCAACAAAACCAACCATCGACTGCCATTTCCCCCAGCAAAAAACGGGGTTCAGCCCCGCGGGGCCGGGGGAGGGAGGAGGCTGGAGGTGTAACTGCTGATGGAAGAAGTAAATCTCCGAGTTCAAAAGGCCAAAAAAAAAAAAAAAAAAAAAAAAGAAATGGAAGATTGAGCATTAAAAAAAAATCAGTCACAACCAAACACTTCGGACTGCTGAGGTCTGGAGCTTTTACAACTAATGACCACTTTCAAGTGAAAAAGAAAGCCCATAAATTCTATTTTTAAAGAACATTTTTCTTTGGAAAAAGAGAGTAATTTTTTTTTCTTACTTTTTTTTTTCCCCTAAACTACAGCATGTGGAGTTGCCACTACCTAGTTTTTAATCTATTGTCGCTAAGAGGTAGATAAACAAAAATGAATTGGTTATATATAAGGTCGTGCCCCCCTCCCCCCCCCCCCCCCCCAGTTTTTAATCTATTGTCGCTAAGAGGTAGATAAACAAAAATGAATTGGTTATATATAAGGTCGGGCCCCCCTCCCCCCCCCCCGGGTTTGATGTGAAGCTGAGGGACCCCCCGGGGGTTCACCCCCTCTGGAGTCACCCGAAAATTTGCCAGGTTCAATTCAGCCACAGGAGCCGCTGGAGGCGGCGGTGGCACTGGGGGGGGGTCACGGTTTAGGGCCAGATTTCCTCCTGAAGTCAAGGAATTTGATCCCGAGCTGAATCCAGATGCGCTTTGAATGAACCGACGCGATGAACTGCTGGGTAACGAACGCTCGCACCAATTACGGCCATTTTAAGGATTATTTTCTGCCCCCATTCCGGTCAATCCCATTGATCTCCCGGGATGATCTGCCAACAGCGAGGGGTGAGCCCAGTCCCTGCCTCCCGTCCCCGCCGAGGGCAGCTCTGCCAGGGCCGAGAGATCCGGGATCTCTCGGGATCAGCCCTTTCCCACCCCAAAACACCAGCAAACTCCCTCCAGCCAGACTTGGTGTTGCTTTGCAGAGACCATTTCCCAAACTGGTCCAAAAAAAAAAAAAAATAAAAATGGCTTCAGTTGTGTCGTACATCCCAATTCCTGGGGCTGAAGTTATTAATTTCTTATTTTTTTTTAAGCAAAAAAATCCCTTTCGGTGTTAGCTCGTGCTGATCCGCAGCACTCAAATACTTTCCACAGTTCATAACCCACCGCTCTGCTGCGCTGGTGAGGGTGGGCTGCTGCTGTGGTACGGCACAGCATCCCACTGTGGTCCAGAAGAACATCCCACCAAACCCTGGCAGAGCATCCCACTGTGGTCCAGAAGAACATCCCACCAAACCCTGGCAGAGCATCCCACTGTGGTCCAGAAGAACATCCCACCAAACCCTGGCAGAGCATCCCACTGTGGTCCAGCATAGGAACCCACCATAAGCTGGAAGAGCATCCCACCATGGTCAAGCAGAGCACCCAACCATAACCTGGCAGAGCATCCCGCTATGGTCCAGCATATGATCCCACCATGAGGTGGCAGAACATCCCACCATGGTCCAGCACAGGATCCCACCATACACTAGCAGAGAATCCCGCCATGGTCTGGCAGAACTTCTCACCATGGTCAAGTAGCACACCCAACCATAACCTGCCAGAGCATCCCGCTATGGTCCAGCACTGGATCCCACCATGGTCCAGCACAACAGCCCACCATACCCTGGCAGAGCATCCCACCACCACCGCGCCCCGCCGCTGCTCAGAGAGGTATTAATTCATCTTCAACAACAAAACCAAAAACCCTAGATAATTCTGTAACGTACAGTAAAGCAGCAGGGACCCAGCCCACACCCGAGTCAGCCCGGGGCTGACCTTCCACGGGGTCCATCTCAGTCCACCTCCCCCCTGGCACCCCTGGGAGCCTTCCTCACTGGCTCTCCTCTTCCTCCCACACCACGTGGCTCTCCCTAATCACGGGGAGGAAAGCTGGGACCCCAAAACCGCCTCCCCGACCGGGCAGGAGGGTCTCTGCTGAGCACAGGGGTGTCAGATCCTGCTGCAAGATGTGGCGAGGGACCCCCCCGTCCGTCCCTCGGGGCTCCCCGTCACCTCTGAGGTAGTTTGCACGTGTACGTTTGCAGCTCGCAGCACCTGCACGGTCTCCAAAAAAAAAAGAAAAAAAGAAAAAAAAAAGAAAAAGAAAAGAAAAAAAAAAATCATGATTGAAGAGCCTCTGGCTGGTTTCGCTCTGCTCTGGATCTCATCCACAATCACAAACGAGTTAAAAAAAAAAAAAAAAAAAAAAAAAATATTAAAAAAAATAATTTTCCCTTTACTGACACTAGCAAGGTCTCTTCTGTGTTGGACACTTGGGATGAGATCCCAGGCCAGGTTTCCCACAGTGTGCCCACCATGGAACAGGTCCAGCCTTGCCAGCACAGGGCTTCTCCAGGCTCGGGCAGGCCCTGCTGGCGCTGAGGTGCAGGAGTGGGGGGAAGCCATCGCTCCCCTCAGAGGAGGCCCCTCAAGAGAGGCACAGCCTTCACCCTCCCAAAGTGAGTGTATGCTGAAAGGGCCGTGCCCCCCCCCCCCCCCCCCCGGGTTTGATGTGAAGCTGAGGGACCCCCCGGGGGTTCACCCCCTCTGGAGTCACCCGAAAATTTGCCAGGTTCAATTCAGCCACAGGAGCCGCTGGAGGCGGCGGTGGCACTGGGGGGGGGTCACGGTTTAGGGCCAGATTTCCTCCTGAAGTCAAGGAATTTGATCCCGAGCTGAATCCAGATGCGCTTTGAATGAACCGACGCGATGAACTGCTGGGTAACGAACGCTCGCACCAATTACGGCCATTTTAAGGACTATTTTCTGCCCCCATTCCGGTCAATCCCATTGATCTCCCGGGATGATCTGCCAACAGCGAGGGGTGAGCCCAGTCCCTGCCTCCCGTCCCCGCCGAGGGCAGCTCTGCCAGGGCCGAGAGATCCGGGATCTCTCGGGATCAGCCCTTTCCCACCCCAAAACACCAGCAAACTCCCTCCAGCCAGACTTGGTGTTGCTTTGCAGAGACCATTTCCCAAACTGGTCCAAAAAAAAAAAAAAATAAAAATGGCTTCAGTTGTGTCGTACATCCCAATTCCTGGGGCTGAAGTTAT